TTCAAGTTTCCTGCATTTAAAAGGCACAAAGGAGATCTTCAGCAATAGCTGTTTTAAACAGCTCCTCAACTGATATGCAGCAGTTACGTTTCCCCTCCTTTGAAAGAGGTTCTGACTGCTACTCCTGGATAAAACTAGAGATCTCTTTCGAAGGATCTCTAGTTTCATCCTGAGTAGCAGTCAGAACACACACAATGGCATACATCAACATCAACAGCGTAATAGATATTTATTCACGTTCACATCTGCCTGAGAATCTACAAGAGAGTGTAATAAATTTTCATTTCTGTAAGCACGCATGTACACCTCTCAAAGTACAAATTGATTGAAAGAACAATCATATGACTTGCCTATCTGATAAGTGCTAATTTGAAAGAACGCTTCTCTGCAGTCTTGAATTTTTCAAAAAACCCAGGTCCATAAGCTTCAGGATTTATACCTTCTTGAAGAACCATTCTCTTGGTTTTAAGCAATTTTATTCACATTTTATTTTATTACTGCAGTGCAGGTTCTATTAACTTGGCAGTGTACTGAGGTTGCCCTGTTATGATCCAGTTGCAACACTACAGCCCTGTACAAGTAACTGGAATACACACAAAACCTTAAAGTCTTAGCCTGATGTCCTGAAAGTATTCCTTTTATACTATAAGTTACAAATTCCATCAAAAATGACTGTTGTCAGAAATACTGATGTAACCAGAAGAAACAAGAACTGCCTGTCTGTCAAAAACTGTTTATTCCATGTTAAGATCGTTATGGCCAGTAGTTTTTTGCTCCTCAGAAACTAGCAGCTAACCACTGTTTTGTTCTTAAATAGTTTTCAGTGTTGACACACACTCCGTAATGACAGTGTCAGAACCTGACAGAACAGCACGGAGCTGCATCGGGGGAGGGTCAAGCTGAGCGTTAGGAAAAGGTTCTTCATCAGAGGGCAGTGGGTATGGAACTGGCTCCCCAAAGCAGTGATCACAGTCCCAAGCAGACGGAGCTCAAGGAGCGTTTGGACAACACTCTGACATCAGGTTTGAATTTGGGGTGATCCTGTGCAGAGCCAGGAGCTGGACAATGGTCCTTGTGGGACTGGCAACCTGGGATATACTATGATAGCTCCCTCTGCACCACCAAACTGCTAAATATTTCACACATCCCACAACAGTGTATTATGGACTGTACTGATAATGAGCGCATCATTCAGCCTCATCTTAACGCAGAGATCCCACTTTCCTCATCCAGCTCTAATTGGGGCTATCACTGTCCACTTACATACAAAAAATAGATTAGATGCACAGAAGCTTCCTCTGCCTCAGAACACTACTGCAAGACACCTGGATGCATTCTTGTGTCACCTAATCTAGGTGGCCCTGCTTAGGCAGGAAAATTGGACTGGATGATCTTTTGAGGTCCCTTCCAATCCCTGACACTCTGCATGATTCTATAGTCCACTTAAATGCTTTCCTGCCTCCCTTCGTGTTTTCTTTATCTCCAGCAATAAAGGGACTGTAAACTGAATTTCAACTGGGTGTAGGCTTTGTCTGCTTTTCATCGTTCAGATTTACAAGCTAGTCTCCTCTACCTATAACCTTTCTGTCATTTTAGCTCATCACAGTGAAAAAGTTACCCTATATAATGCTCTTTCAAATACTGAAAAAAACTTCTTTCTAATTTCATGTAATATTTTACACACAAAATTATTTTCCCTTAAAAGATGAATAGAGCTCTCAGATAGCTATCAATCTCTTGCAAATCTGAAGATTAATTTATCTTCATTTTTATCTTCATTTTATATTGTGTATCACTATAATTATTGGTTTATACCATTATTTGGAGAGTACAATCCTTACCCTCATCCCACCCAGCTATTATTCTTTTCTAATATTTAAAAGTCTATTTCTATCTCTTTAATTACTTTGTACCTTTCTCATCTATGCTTTTAAAAGTGTCATTACTGCAGTACTTTAGAGAAAGTTAGAAATTTACAGGCAACTAATTGGAACTCATCATAACAACAAAAAGAACGAAATGTAAAAATTCTAGAATTGTTCTGACAGATTTTTTGTTAAATTCTACAATTCTCCTTTTCATTACTAGGCCACAGCAAACAAAGCAATGCAACTCCTACATTACGAGTAAGGTAACTTTAAGAAACAAACTTTACATACAAATAAGCACATGTAAATTTTCTAAGCAACGTTAGCCAGTCAAAATGCAAATGCAACATGCCAGCTTTTTGCCACCTTTATCTCAAAACCCTACGCACGCTGTATCTTGCTCAGACAACAAACCATCTTTTCTTAAGAAAACTTAATTTGTATCACATTGAAATTCAACAAACTTTTAAAGTTAGAAGACTACTAAAATCGTTTCTCCTCTTAATGTTCACCTACTTTAAAGCTGTCAATAAAAATCTAAATCCTGTTCAAGAAAAGAGCCCATTACTTGTTTTTTTTTTTATTTTTAATTCAGTTGACTTGCCACAATAGAGTGAAGAGATGATGCATCAACATGTCACAAAACTGATTACCAGTGCATATCTTATCTAGATGAGTATTAATATATAAGCATTAATTTTACAGTGTCTTCTCCCCCCATCCTTAAAATATTCAGCCACGTCCTATCATAGCTTTTCCTCCTAAACCTAGCTTCTTTCACATACTCGCACACCTTTCTTCATCCAGTTTGGCAATCTGGGATAAAATACAGCTTCCATAGTTCATAGTGCTCACAGACCCAAACAGCCACCAAACTCATTGTCAATAAAAACAAACACCAAAACGTAACATCACATGTGCCTATCATATAAATTAATTTTCTGAGTTTCAACAGGAGTCAAGATTTGCGTGATGTACGGCGCTCAGACAACAAGAGGTGGTCACAATATCTCTGACTGGATGTCATTTCCCAGTACTTCAGTAAGGAAAAACAGCATCTCCTTAAAACAGCAGAACAAGTGCAGTACATAAAAACAAATACACAGAAGAGCTTTAAACGTTTTGAATGCCTAATTTGGTTGCATTACTACTTGAATTAAGTTGCCTGCTAAACCCAGTGTTCATTATTATTAGAACCCCTATGCTGCGTGCTTTCTGTTATGTATTTTGCTATTTAGATTCATCAATAATCATTTGAGAATCAGATCTTGTTTTCTACAGAATGCTAATGGATGATGGTTCTAAATGAAGATGCGTGAAGTACAAATGATAAAGCTTAACTTTTCTTAATGAGATAAAGAAAACCAAATCTAGAACACAAAGAATCTAGAATAGAAAGCACACGTATGAATTAATAGGTCCAATAATGGAGATTAGAAATATCACAGAAATGTGAAGCGTTGTGCTTCGCAGACATATTTGCTCACTAAGCTCTCTTTCAAAGAGGTTTTAACAATTAAAATGCATACTGCTGTAAGAAATGTCCCTTGTAGCATGTTAGAGTAACGAGTCTTAAATATATTCCTTTCTTAAAAAGCAATATGAAGTTATATATGGTCATCATACCAGCTAAAATAATATTTGACTTCAAAAATAGATACAAATTGAATAAGTTAAAAGTAGTTAATATTACTGGGGGAACTTTGTGGGTCTCTTTCAACTCAGAATATTCCATTAAAAGGACATTACATAAATAAAGTACTAGACTTGATAATCTCTCATCAATTTGTTGCTCAGTTATACAGAGGGAAAAGAGAGGTGCAGAAACTCTGTCAGGTGTTTCACAATATTCTATAAAGCACAGTATTCTTAGGAGACAAAAGAAAACAAACCACACTCCTTCCTCATCTCCCCTATCCCATCACACCCCCAACGAAACAGTTCAGGAAGGCTAGAGAAACAATGTATAAACTTCATTTGGTTTTCTGAGAAGGAAACTTCAGGATATTCTTTGCCATGGCAGTGATCAATGGAGAAGTTACGTCCCGGAAGTCAGCAAGTTAAAACAAATGGACACATATATATAATTAAAAACAAAAATTTGTTTTAAATTAAAACAAAACACACACCACATCAATGCCATTTCAGTGACCCCTCAGCCAGAATGCCAACTAAAGCCCTCCATTACTTTTATAATCGTTTTTAAAGATTCACAACTGACTCACAAAAGAAATTCATGCCATAGGACTTCTACTTCATCTGGACTGAAATAAAAGAACCAAGTAGCCCCGGAACAATTTTTTTTTTTTTTTTTTTTTCCTTTTAAACCAAAAGGTTGAATAATAGGAATTTACAGCTCTACAGCTGACAGATGCATTAAGTCTGAAACACACAGTTTACTCTTGTACACTTAAGCTGTATTTTCATGAAAGAATACACTAGAACACACAAGACTAAATAATATTTATTCAAATTGACAGCACAGATTTCTCACTTGTCAGAGAGAAAAACAACCCCCCTCCTCAAATGATGCAAGATTTTCCAAGCTTTAGAACAGAAAGTCTTCACATCTGCCTTACCTAGGAAAGGCACAAAGATTCTTAATCTAAACAGCTGTGCACTTAGTGTTAAGGGTACACAAGGAGCACTCCTACTGGTTTTGATGAGATATTTAGACAATTTATAGTTCTCTGTGGGCATATCTGCATTAAACATATGACAAATAACACTATATGCAGAACTTAATCTGCAATTTTAAAGGATTGCAAAGCTTGATGCTGGCAAGAAATTTTGAAAGACATTTTTTCTCACTTTAAAAATCAAACATACAAAACAATAAAAAGAATTAAGCCTAAAATAACAGGAATAATTTATTTGACCTGCTTGGCATTAATCAGGTAAGCAACACTTTGGTTTTGCTGGTTTCTTTGATGTGAATGCAAACAGACTTCTAATCAAGATGATCTGAGGATAGAAGGATGAGGTATAATTAATGGTACAACAGACCTTTGAAAAAATACCTGTGTTGATAACTCCTATTTTTAAGCTCTTACACATAAGCCAGATGTTCAATCCTTGTGTTTTCAAAAATATCAAAGCACTTAAACTTTAAAATTGTTGTAAAGGACTTACTTTTATTGTAGCAAGTTGCTAGTACACCTTTATCTGCAGGACTGGCACTAATGTGCCAGATCTCACCCACTTGATGAAGAAGCACATTTTTGTTTATGATGTTATTTTCATCATCAAAATCTATGATGTGAATCTGCAAATACAATAAAAGAGAACATTAGGTTTTCAAATGTTTTCCTGTGGGTCTTAATTATACACAATGACTGCACAGAACAATTTAATGAGAATTTTATAACTGATATCTACTTTAATTAATTGTTATACTAACAATTTACTATATCATTGATTTCATCAAGATAGACTTTTCTAGAAAAATAAGCCATCTCTTTGTTTTGATGAAATACAGCATTTATTCTTCTCAGTTCTGCAGCTTAAAGCTTGAAGGTGATTTTTCATATTATAGTTAACAGTAATAAGCCACTAGTACTGCATTTGAACACTTCTTCCAGCAATAAACAGAAATAATAACATCACAATTTTCAGTCAAGATGTCTGCATTAACTCTGTATACAAGCCATCAAATTTAAATATCTTTTGAAGAAAGAATGGGAGAGAGAGCAAGGACTTTGTTTTGAAACAGAAATAATTGAAACTTCTAGAGTTCTCCTCAAGTAAGCAATCCTATATATGTATCCATACATAAAACTATCTATTACTAAAACACTTAGAAATATAACACATTTTAAACTACAAGCATACATAAAATACTGAACTGAAAAGTTCTTTCAAGAAACACTAATCATATTTTAATAAATCTATATCTTACTCCTGTTCTTCTTCTAAGTAATCTCATTTAAGATTCATTAGTAAAATTGCGTCAACAACGAAGAGAGAAACAAAGTAATCCACTAAACCACTGCAGAAGTCTTACATACAAGATATTATAGAAATGTTTCATAAAATAGAGAAACAACTAGATAGGTGTCAACTCAGGCTATATCGGCAATACTGTACCTTACTTTACGAAATGGCTGATGTGTTACCTTTTTTTTTTTTTTTTTTTTTTTTTTTTTTAACCTCTCCTTCAAACACTCAATTGCTGAGTGCAGTCATCAGCAACTTCTTCAAATATAATGCAGGACCTCATCACCTGTAGTGTTCTTAACTCAGTCATCCAGGGCACATAAGCAGTCCTGCAGTTGATGAGCATGCTGTCCTTTCAAACTTGACTTCATTTGTTGCCCTGAACTTACAAATCTACCCAGGCATCAGGACAACATCCATCTCCTGCAGCAATTGCACAGCCATCTTCCTGTCCAACTTAAGGAAGTCACCTTCCTGCCTTTCATAACTCTCCATAGTCACACCCCTTGGACTTATCTACAGCTGCCCTTTATTTTGGTGCTCTGTATATCCCCTCTTGACCTACTCCCTGTGTCCTAAATCAGGCACTCTGAAGAGAACTTGTCCTTATTCAGTGGTTTAAATCATTGACTGACTTTATCAGACACCATATACTCAGCCCCCTGCACTGCTCTCCTCAGACATATTTTGATGTTCTCAATCAACTCACAACTGAAATTGTTCATAAAAACAACAGCTTGGAGATAAACTGCAACATATTTACAACCCTAAAGTAAAACTTTCCAACAGGCTCAAGAACAATAATTCCTACTACTATTTTTACACATCAAAATAATGATAATTAGCTTTTGGATCTGCAACTAAAAGCAGATCCCTCAAAATTACGGAATTAGAGGTTTAACAGATAAATAATGTGAAATATGTGAAAATATTTTAAAATAAGAGCTTATTTTCTCTGTGAAAGGCACAAACAGATCTGCTTTATTTGCTTGTTCTCAGCAATCTCAGAAGAAAAAAAAAAAAAAGAAAAAAAAGGAGAAGGAAGGAAACCTTCCACTGGAGTCGCTGAAGTCTCATTTGGCAGCTTCTCTGAAGTCTCTAGAGGTGAACCACAAATGAAAACAGTATCCCAATTCCACATATGCTGTGCCTGCGCTGGCCAGGTTAAGAGGGTCATTCAACACAAACGGTTGGAAAGCTCTCTACTCCATCTGAAGCCTTTTGAAAGCACAGATGACCAATTCCTCCTCTACTGTCATGTCTTTGTTCAGCTGACATCATAGATACCTGGAAACCTCTGCTGTAACTATGCTAAATACCAAAGACAAAACAACTCTCACAGAAAATAAAGAAGTACCAAATACAGTACCAGCATGATGCCATGAAGAGAAATACTAGCAGAAAAGCATTCAGCTACAACAACTGTCCTAATGCAAGCCTCAGCTACAAAGTTTGCTATTTTCATCTGTTCAATTACTATCTTTCTAACTTTTTCAAGTGGAGTAGGGAAATGAGTTTCAACTTGGATAAATAAGTGCAGTATATAGATGCTACAGAAGAGGATGACAGCAATAGTAAGCATAGGCTCACTCAGAGAAACTTCTCAACATGAATGCACTGTCCATAGTAATGGTATGTGTTACCACAGTTCATGTGGAAAACAGCCTTTGTGGAAAATAACTCTTATTTTCAGTAGCAACATTAAGGAGTAATTATGCTGAAGAGTCCCTGAAGATTGAACACATACAAGTCCAAACAGAGAGGGAAAGCAAGTAGAGATCTGAAGGCAAACAATTATTTGACTTTACTAAAAAACATCTGGAGAAATCACTAATTGCTATGGAAGTGACTAAGGCAGGGAGACAACTAAACACATTCAGAACAAAATTACTCTTTTTTCTCCATTACAAAAACTCTGTAATTTGCTTCCTTACATTAGAGACTAACAGGGTACAGAGTGGGAGATGTGGTAAGTGTTTTACTTTGAGTGCCCACTGCCATGCTCTGTGCGTATGTAACACCATCCATGAAAAACTATGTTGGATTCTAATACAAGACTGAAGTTAACTCAGTTCTCAGAGAAATCAAAAAAGATTAGGTGAAGTACGCTTATTGTGTATGCTTTCAAAAACACGCAGTAAATGCATTAAACTAACAGCAGCAGAAACACAAAAGCTTCCAAAAGGCCAAGTTTTTAAGGACCGCATAAAATACTGTCAGAGAACAAATATACAACTGCATGAACAATTTGTCAGAAGTCACATTGAACATAGTTTAAAAAAAACCAAAAACTACATTCAAAGATATGAAACATTTGCTTTGGTTTAGAGAATTCCTTTAGAAAAGAAAGCACCCAAACCCCCAGCTCAGCAGCAGCGGATGCTTACATCAGGTGACGGATACCTGGACAGAAGGTATAGACTTTCAGAGATCATCACCTTGGAAGCACTAAACAATAAGATTAAAAGACAGACCAGCAGCCTAGACCGTTCTCTTTAATTATCACCTTCCCTCAAGTGGTATTTCACTGGAAAGTTTTCTTTGTCTTTCCCATTTGGCAACACACTTCTCGTTGCCAGTTTTACTCTCCACTTCCACAACACTACATCAAGAACATGCTGTTCTCCTTCCTTCTTTCTCCTATACTTTTATTTTTATACAAGATCTCCAAACCTCATAAAAGAGAGTAAACCACCACATTTGTTATCTTCATTAGCTGCATGTATTCAGGTTTCCTAATTTCATTCACATCCCGAAAGTATGTTGCAAAGTTGTTCTACAGGAGCAGATGACAGACTTCCAGTCAAAAAGGAACTACTTTCACGAAGTTACGTAGATCAAAAACCAAGTACTTGACACTGTTAATATCGCAAGTACTGTCAGAACACAACATTTAAAAATACTTCCCCTGGCCTCATAAAGAAAGCATTAACAGCAAAATATTTTCACCAGATCTCCTATGAATTACTTGTATTGAAATAAATCTCACTAAAGAAGAAATTACCTTGCCAGCTGCATGACTGCTGTTCGCTTACCTACAACACACCTGGCTTGGGACTGGAAGGTAAGAAACATTCTGTACATAATGGAGCTGCATACACAATCTCACCACACAGCACTCGGTCAAGCATTAAAGGCTGCAAGCCAGTTCGTAACTTAGGTCAGGTAACCAAAAAAGTTTTTAAGCAAATCTAGAGAACATAATGACTTGAGGCCTAAGGCATTTCTTAGGGATTAGCAACTAGCTGATGGAGCTGATGGCCTGAGGCACAGCTAAAGGCCAATAACCCCCAAAGATTCGTTAATACCCTAGGAAGTGGCTTGCACATCTATTATTAATGCTATTCACTGGAAAAAAAAGATTACGTTCAATGAGGCTGAAACACGTATATGGAGATATGTCCAAAATAGGTAGTCTATGCCAAAAAGTTTACCTAAATCAGAACGTTTAAATTATTGAAGATCTGCTGGACACCAATCAGTGAGCAAGGATCACCCTCTAACTTGGAGCTCAATTTTGGACTTGAATTTAATCAGTTAAACCAAGAAGTAAAAGACAGATTCAACTTTTAACCTGATAAAGCTATTTATTCAGTAGAAAAGCTTAAACCTTAAAACCAAATGTCTGTAGGGCATCCAGGACAAATGTACACATTGATTTTTTTTTTATCATCTTATTTTTAACTAAGTTTGTTATGCCAAATCTTTTGTCACTGGTCTCACAAGTATTACCCGAAAAGTAAAGAAACTGAATACACCATACTCCTCGTACCTTTGAATACTTTTCTCTCCTTGAGTCTTAACCAGCATTAACATTTAACAAACTCGTGTACAATTACAATGTTCATTGGAAGGGAAATTGTATTTTTACTGGCAGTAAATAAATTTAGTGACTAATTTGGATTGCGAGAAATCAGAAAGACAAACCTTAAAATCTTTCTCTCTCCCCATTCTCTGAATTACTGAATTAACTCCTTCAATCTGGAGGCTTTACGCGGCACATGAGGGCATGGGGCACTGAGGTTACACTCAGTACATAGGGTCTTCTTTGCCACTCTCCAACTCTCTTTTTTTTTTTTTTTTTTCCTGCTACAGCAAGTGCTCTCCATGGACCATAGTTCCTTCACAAATATCCATATGCAGGAACAGGTTCTCCACAGGGAGCTAGGATATCTGCTCTACCACAGAACACTGCCTGTTCCTCCTTTGACCTTGCCATTCTCCCTATGGAATATTCTATTTCTTTCTCTCTTTTGTTCCTTTCTCTCTCCCATGCAGTATTTTTTCCCATTCCAAAAGTTTTCACAGGGTTTCCATCATTCTGTTAGTCTCAACTGTGCCCTCCATGCACAGGCAGATGCAAACTGCACTGAGCAGTACTGGCATCTTCCAACAGAGAACCTCTGCAGCACTTCTGCTACACCCACCTGAAGCCTATACCCAATGCAGCTTTCTAATTGTTCTGCCCTCAAGATCTTCTTTCACTGTGAACATACATACAGAAGTTTAATCATAAAATCACTGTAAAATTATAAGAGCTGTACTCTTAACCACACAGGAAACAGTCCAACAGAAATTAAGCTGATACTCCCTGAAATTTTTAACTTGCTCTATTTGTGATCAGTGAAGACATAATTGATTACCAACAATTACAGTTGAAAAAATCCATTTCATGTAGCTTCAGATAGACAGCTAGGCATAAGTCAGGAGTCATACTAACGACAATCAAGGACTAAAGAATTTTGTTTTATTTCATATATCTTCCAAGGTTTAAAGACAGCTCCAGAAAATCTAGAGATTTAAATTAATGAAAAAATGGCAACTGCTTCACTAAGCCAAACTGGTTTAGTAACACAGTTCAGAACAGTTTAATTTTCCAGAAATACACACTCTCACTTATGTTGATAAGAAATATATCTGCAAACAATTAGTGTAAATCTACAACTTAACTATCTCTTAAACTTCAAACAGAGGGGCAAGAAGAAGAAAGATATTTGAACAGTGTTAAAACGAACAAAAAACAAACAAAAAGCCCCAAAAAACTGACATTTGACCAAATAAGTTACCTGATTATCATATCTAAGAGACTGTGTTCCAACCAAAAATCTTATAGCATCTGTTTCTGCTGTCTGAGGTGTTAACGCTCGTGCCTAGGGAAAGAGAAAGCCATTAGAAAAGTCCAATTAGTACAGCCCATTAATTTCAGCAAAAATCTTTAAGCTCATGTATCAATCATTTTTAAGCATCATACTTTACAACTGTAATAATTTTTTGTCATTTATGTCTATTTTGCTTAATACATTCTTCTACAATTTCTCACATTTGTAAAATACATGGAAGACAGAAGTCCTAAATACTTAACTGGTCATTGCAAGAGCAATTACCCCAAATTAATTCTCCTTCATGAATTGCAGAAAGACAAAAACAGAAAAAACAAACAGTGGAACAATGAACTTGACTGTTAAGTGTATTGGATATAATATTAAAAAAAAAAAAAAAAAAAAAAAAGCTGTTCATGTTGGAAGCCTCCCACCCATCACTACTCTCTTCAAACAATTCAGACTGAAGATGCTTGCATAAAAATGAAGGAATTCTTTTCCTCACCATCAAACATCAAGCTTAACAAAATTAGAAAGCAAAAATCTTTTCTATTTCAACTCCAGATCACAATGTATAAATTTAAAATACCAATACAGTGCTAGAATAGCAACTCAAAGATTTTCCTTACATAAGGCAAAACAGTCTAAACCCTTGTCTAACAGCAACAGTAAGAGCAAAATCATTTTTCATAAAAGTACTCCTGACTCCATAAACAGCATATACAATTCATACGTGATATGTGAGACATAAAAACAAAAAAAGAGTTAGACAACATTTTGCTCCAGATTGAGCAGAAGAGGTTAAAAAAAACATAATGAGCTTAAAAAGCGTAAGCTAGTAGACCAACATTTACATGAGCGGAAAAAAGCAATAGGGAACACAATTCAGCGTTCAGACTGTGTTCAAATTATACTCAAATGTAGATCTGAGATCAGTACGAACCTCTACTGGTTTGTTTGTGCTCTCCTACTTACGTGGCATTCACCTCCAACAAGCCTAGACAGTGTTTCCAATTGACAGAAACAAGAAGAGTTCACCAAAAAGATTGCAGAAAAGCTTTTGCCTTAAACAGAATTTATGTTCGCAGATCCCTAGCAAAGAGCTGCTTTTCATTTCAGACCTCCTTTCAATTATTTTGAATATAACACTAGAAGTAAGTCAATGGCTATGTATCTCTTTCAAGCAAACAAGTTTACTTTTGTTTCAGCAAGTTGACCAGAAGAGGCCTCCAAATAACTTGAATAAAAATAAATAAAAAAAAACAAAGAAGCTTCTCACCCCTTTTAAAGCTGTTCAAGTAGATCTAATCTTTTTGCTTTCAGGAATGAATCAGGATAGATACAATGTGCCCAAAATAAAATTTCAGACTACCATTTATTGTCTGTCATAAAGAACTACAGCTACCACAGAATACAGAGTTCAAGTTCATCAGTTGTTGACAAGTAAGGAAAACCTGAATCTTGAAAAAATTGCATTATGATGGACTGTCACGTACTTCCTGGAAAAATATATGTTCAAGTTTGTCTACTCTGAGTTACATTTAGAAAAACAAAATGTTTTTTCAACAGTGGAAATCTTGTCATAAATAAAGTCTTTGCATTTGGACTGCTAAGCAGAGTCTAGAAGAGCACCTAATATCTTACACAAAAGCATCCTTCCTCACGATTGCAGCTATTAGAAAATAAAAAGCAGAATAGAATGAGTATCCATTACTCTAAACCAATAAAAACATTTTATACAAAGCTAGTTATCCACAGAACACTAAGTTGCATATAGAACTGAAAGTAGTCTACTACTGAAAATACTAAAATTTTATTTACCAAGGAAATTGACATGCTGCATGGTGTTACATGAAGTAATTAGCTTCATTTTTGAAGAACATCTAAGACTAGGAAAAAAAAATAAATCAAGAAAAGAGAAAAATATTGTGATCTATGGAGAGCCTTCTGGTTACAAATTCAAACTTCACATTCATTGTAAATTTCACTCTCTGAAATCTCTGTGAAGAAACCTGCAAGGCTTAAACCAAGTAGAGTTTTAAAAATTTGGAGCAATACTGCAGCAACCCAACTGTGATGAACTTTCCCAAATACTTTAACAGCCTAAAGGAAGTTCATAAACATCAAAACCTGCAGCAGTGGAGGTGACCTACTGTTGCTGTCACCACTGCTGAAACATCATCCACCACCTCACTGTGCTCACACCCATTGTTTGGTCTCCATAAACATTCAGCAAGCACAGATGAATGTTAGTGGATGCCATTTTTTCTGCATGGAGGTATTCAATTGAACACACCACATTTCCATGTCAGCCACCATTTTGTCAGACTGCCCCTCTGCTACCATCTGTCACACAGTAACAAAATGTAATGGAATACAGGTGAGATGGTTCAACCTATACTGCCATACAACCATCACCTGCCTCTGATGTCATGGGCCAGCATAATAAAATAGGCAGCATTACTTTCAGAGCAGCCCTCACATACATTACTACGTAATATAGTTAATAAGTACCCAAACTGTTTCTAATTTAATATTTTCATTAAAGCAGTAAAAAAAGAGCAATAAAAACATAAAACTAGTGGGATATTTGACCTTGGTTTTATGAAACTAATACATATATCAGGCTGCTCTGATGGAAGTGTTCGCAACTCTCACAGTGCTCAGAGACTTATGAAACTTCTCCTGTGCTTCATCCTTGACAACAGTTGCTCAAAAATTTCTTTATTGACAAAAATCAATGACATAAATAAGGTACGACTGTGGATTGAGGGATATTTTTCTCTTACAAAAGTCTGGTACTGAGACATAGTCAGATTTTGGAGTTGAATATCTGATTGCAACCCTATAAATACATTTTAAAATAGAATGCATGTCAAATGAAAATGTAGTTGCAAATATACCAAAAATTGGTGTTTTTTGTTTGTTCGTTTTGCAATCTTGAAACCTATTCGTAAATTCCTCTACAAGAAGGAAAGGCTGCATATTTTTCACTGTTCACAGAACTGTGCTTAGCCAATGTATCGATATGCATAAAATTATTTGCCACAACTAGAGCTGGCACTGCCCTGGTTGGAGCTCAGACAGCATTAATATTGCACTGATGGTTTTGCTGTTGCTGAGCAATGGGTGCATGCCCAAAGCTGAGCCACCACCATGATGGTATGGAATGGGCACAGCATAGACTGTGCCAGGCTGCAGGTTGGATATGCATGGTCTGAAACATAAAGAAGGCTATTTTGGAACCATAATGCAACCAATCTGCACTTCGTATATAACTTCTCTCAAAACTTTCTTAGTTTCTCTTTCTCCGTTAACCAAATCCACAAAGTCACTTCCTGAATTAGACTGTTACTATTTAGTGTGTTAATGTGCCAAGAAAAAAGTGGCTTGAGGAATCTCAATACTACTCCGGCACATACTTCTAGTTGATGTGCTGCACTGGTCTGATAGCAGCAAACAAAAATACAGCCCTGAATATTTGAATATCTGCATTAAATGAGCTACAAAAATTCTCTTGGTTGTATCACAGGTGCCATTTGAAAACAATATAGTCAGTCTGTGCTATTGAGCAGTGAAATTACAATAAAAGATGTACATCACATTGGGCTTGCAGTCCCCAAATTTGAAGGCAGCCATTTGACCACCTGCTTATGCTCAAAACCAAGAAATATATAGCTCCTTGCAAGGGCAGGAGAGAAAAAGGTTGGCTTTGCTGATGTCCCAGTCTGGAAGAAAAAAATCAAGATGTTTTTTTCCTCCTTCCTCAAGAAAGCCCCAGGATAATAACATAAATATTATGCCTGCCTTCTGGCCTATTCTCCATTTTCAAGTAGGTACACTTTGATCTTTACCTGGATAGGACAGCCTTGTTCCTCCCTTCCCAGCAGGAGACTCTCCAACCATCAGCTGCAAAAAGCTGCAGCAAATCCATCAGTGAAGAGGTTGGCAGCACGCATGCCCAGGTGACCCTCAGTGCTCTGACAGCTGCCTTCTCAAACTCGTTCATAGCATAACAATTCCCACCACAAACACATTTAGTGCACTGACCCTATTGCACAGGCTGACAGGTTCTGCAAACCTTCCCAGCTACAAAAATAACCTTTGCACAAAACCTTGCATCACACAATCATCCTTAGAAATCCCACTTTCACACTGTCACTGTATACTTGTAACAAAGCTTAAAGGTAAATATCTTTAAGAGCTCTTCAAACTCACATAACTATAGCTTCATAGTGTCATTAGGCTGTACCATACCTAATAATACTTCAATCCTGCTAATTGCTTAAGAGTCTTAAAAGAAGTAGTATCCATTTAGTCCAATTCAAGCGTTAAGATCTTTGGAAGATTACTTAAGAGAGCTTTGTCATATACCTTTTTTTTTTTTCTTCCTCTCAATTGAGTCTTTGAATCCAATACTATATTTGGCTGGAGTTGTATATGATGTCCTCTCAGGTGAAATGCTGCCATCAAGAAGAGACATGAAGGGGGTGGCAGATACAAAAACTCATGAGAGAACATCCTTCCAGCCTGGACTACAATATACAGGACTGGCACTCATAAGGCAAATAACATAGGGAAAGAAAAAAGATTGAGGAAAACAGTAGGAATTTTACTAAGCCATAATCATTCAGTTTCTTGAATCAATATAATTTTCAAACTAAATTCTGTAAAGATATCACTAATGCTATACTCAGATTATTATCTCAGTTCTGTTTAGGCAACTTTCTTCTATCCCACAAGGGATCAAAAAGGCTCTCCCGAGAAGAAAACCTCTCTGCAAACACAAGCCATAACCTCTGCACTTCCCATAATGGCAGCATCACTGAACCTGAAAGTATGCAGAGGTTCCCTGGATTCTGCACAAGTGGCATGCAACTCCCTGGAAAGTCCTTTCCCTTCCTTCTTCTTCTTTTTCTGTGAATCTATACCTGCTTTCTACTAAATCATTACAGCTATTCTCAGTACATACTAATTTTAAACACACACACACACACACTGTGCAAGACCTGTGGCCAACTCCATGCCAGTTAGTATCTTGTACTGCTTTAAGATCTATTGTAAAGTCTCACTTCACTTCATGGAAGTTAAGAGCCACCTTACTCCATCAAACAGGCAAAAGCCCTAAACCAATGGTCTGTGTACTCTAGGTTAGAAAGCAAACATAAGTCAACTCCAGCCTGGAAATATATGAAGCAAATTACTTCAGTAACAAAAAAATAGCAAGGTCACAAAACAGCTGAGGTGGGAAGGGAGCCTTGAAGCTCACCTGGTCCAGTCCTGCTCCAGCAGGGACATTCAGAGCACAGAACCCAGCATCACGTGCAGGTGGCTTTTGAACATCTCCAAGGAAATACTGCAACGCCTCTGGGCAACTTGTGCCAGTGATCTGTCACTGGAACAGCACAGAAGCATTTCCTGGTGGGACCCATTTACCACACTATCATAATTTAGGTTATTAGTGAAACTTGGTAAGATTCAGTACAGAAGGGTTGTGCTTCTAAAAGGAAACGTTCTGCAGCTACTGTTGTTGCCTCATATTCATCATAAAGATCCACAGTCACACCACTAAGTCCTCAATTCATGTGGCTTCTCACCCATCATCTATTTCTCTGCATTTATTTTCATTTTGACTACAATTGGAGCATAGTACAACTATGGTCTTTGTCAGAGAAAAAAAATCATGAAAGAATTACACATCCTAAAATTGATGTATACTTTTCATGTTTATGCAGTGTTCACATAGCTACAGCAAAGAAAAAACAGACTACATTTTGAGGGCAATATGAACAGTATAAATAGCACAAGAAAGATCTGCAGCCATCTGATAAAAGAAGGGAAATTAAATAGGTTGAAAATTAAACTAATCCTGCACAAAATGGAATTCAACAATTTACTTGATCAAGTTCTTCAAAGTAGTTTCAAACAGCAAGTGCTTATATGCTAGTACAACGGCTCAGGATTTGTATATTTCATTTACATTTTCATGTGTCTGAAATGTGAGTGATATAGCTCTGCCAACTAAGATATTCTTATTCCATTAGGTCATATTTTCATGAAAACCAAATAAAAAAGATAGTATTTGCATGTTATTCTAATCTACCTTTCTTATACTGATACCTAAACACACACACACAAAAAAAACCTTCAAAACTGACCAGAAATTATGCAGAAATATTTTTATTGCAAGTGAGTTAGCATATCTGCTAACTCTGATGGATAGAAGGAATTAGCTTCACATTCATAAACTTAAAAACCATGCTACACTGAAGACCAAACACATACTTACAACAACCACATTTCCTCAGGCAGTAGCCCAAATCAGACTGTTATTGACTCCCGGAGCCAAACACAGGTTAGACTAATCTCTAGTGCAGCTTCTAGATGCCCTGGGTTTGTGACATAGAATTATTTACAATAGAAGTAGAAAGATTCTTTCCTCTCTATAAACGCTTTACCATTTCAAATCTCAGCTTTGAGTAAGCTTGTCATAGAGTTAAAGGAAAGATTATTGGTAACTGAAAGTAAAAAAAATAAAAAGCCAGACTTAAGCAACAAAAGAAAAATTCTTTAAACATGCTTTAACAGAAAAGTTATTCTGAAGTCACAGGGTTTCTGATACGTACACTGGAAAGAAGCAGTCATAAACCATCTTTCTTATTCCCCATCCCCTCTCTAAATGCTCTGAATTAAATGTAATTCTTTTTGATTACCACCACCTTAGTGCTTTTGCTTCCCAATCCCATCAGAGCTGTTACACAGACTGCAGAAGGGAAGAGGTCCACAAGAGATGTGTGATGTGAAAGGCTGAATAGTGCAGGCCCATAAGCAGGCAGCAGACAGGCTAGATTTCCTATATTTCTGAGAAATTTGTCATTATAAGACCTCCTAGAAAGAAGCTATGAACTTTACTAGAGGGCATATTTAAGAGGAAAGATTTAAGTTTTGTTAATCTTTAAGTACAATCTACACACAAAACAGTGCCGTATTACCAGACTTCAGTAGATTTAACTTGTGGTGTAGGTCAGTGCTACACATCAGCTCTTATATGAGAGGAAAACCACACAGATTTTCTTCTAAGACAGACCTATTTGTGTAGTCAGCATTACAGAGCATGCACTTCAGTAGATAGAGCACCAAACTTCATAAACAGAACCTTCATACGCTTCCAGAACACTTTCCATAAGCATTCTAGTAACGAAAAAAATGCATGTAATCATATATTCATGGTTACTTTATATTACTGAATAGATGTAGAATGAAGACTTTGCTCTGTAAGCTGCAGAAGAAATACAGGCTCTCCTATTAGTGCTGTAACAGCAATAGGAGTAGGGCAGTTGTTGCTAGAGAGAGCAGCTGAGTAAAACCTTATTGTGGGAAGGAATAATGGGACAGCATTGCTCTCATCAACCTGCTTACCTTACTGGGTGTTTCCCTTACAACTTGTAGGAACTGCACTATGAGACTGTATTCTTCCATTACAATCAATTGGTTCATAAAGTAGAGTAGGGCAGTCCAGGAAGAAGCTCCATCCTTATAGCCAAAATCACAGAACTGCAGCAGTTAGAAGGGTCCCCTAGAGACCACCTAGCCCAACCCCCTGCTGAAAGCTGGTTCCTACAGCAGATCACACAAGGAGACATCCAGGCAGGTCCTGAATATCTCCAGAGAAAGAAACTCCACCACCTTTCTGCGTTGCCTGTTCCAGCACTCTGCCACCATCGCTCTTCCTCATGACGGTATGGAACTTCCTCTGGTGCAGTTTTTGCCTTGTCGTGTGGCTTCCCACCCTTGGAATCAGCTCTAAGGATATGGGTTAATCTGTCATGGAGGACAGGCACAGAGAGAGGGAAACAGCAAGAGACACCTACATACACCATATTGCTTTGCAGTTAGATATAACCACGTACAATTCACAACTTCTTATGAAGTTCGATGCTCTACCCTCAGAAGGCCATTTGGAAAGAAAAAAAAAATAATAATAAATTCTGAAATGGGAAAAACAGCTAGAACCTACAGGAGACTGCTGGCATCTTATCGGCCCAGCACAAAAAAAAAAAAAAAAAAAAAAAAAGAAAAAGGCTGCTAGAGAAGCAGACAAGAAGCTGACAAGGAAGCAGGAGACCCGGCAGCCCGGTTGAGCACATCTGCCCAGGGCACGCCGGGGACACCGCCACGCAGCGCGGAGGAGGCGCAGCCTCCAGCCCGCCGGCGGCCTAGGGAGCGGCACGGCGACTCCCACAGCTGCCGACAGCGAACCGACCCTCCGCCGCCCGCACCCACCTGGAACTCCAGCCCGTAGATCACCGGCGCGTCGTCCTCCATGCCGGCACGCAACGCCCGCCTCTCCCCGCCGCTTCTTTCTGGCCCTCGGCGCTGCCCGTCGGCCGCTTCCCGGAGCGGACCCGGCGCAGCCGCACTGCCGCCCAGCGCAGGCGCAGTGGGGAAAGGCAGCGGAGGCGGCGGCGGGCTAAGGGACCCGGGCTGGACGGTGAGACGGCCGTGGGGTGCGGGCCTGCAGGAGGAGGGTATGTGCCGGTACGTGCCGGTACGTGCGGGTACGTGTCCGCGGCGCTGCGTTGCGCCGATGAAGGCGGCGGGGTGGCCGCGCCCACTTTGCTGCGCCGGGGGGACCCCGCGGAGGCCCCGAACCGGGAGGAGAGGAAGCAGCGCTCCGCGGTAGCGGTGGTGATGGCCGGGCTGAGCCGCTCGCTCCCCGCCTGCGCCGGATTAGTTCTTGCGGCTGTCCTGCTGCGTGTGCTTAGGTGGAGGCATCTGCCAGCGAATCCCAGCGGTTGGGGCTTGCTCAGAACGCCGCGGGCTGAAGAGAGCCTTTTTGTGATTTTTGTTCCGTGGGCAGATCTTGAAGGAAGAATGTCAGATGGTGAAATGACTGTGCTTTTAAAGCGAGAATTACAGTGTTCGTTTGATACGTAGTTATTTGGAGTGACGAAACTAATTCCTGCATGTGGTTTCTCCCTTCAGCTGCCATGGAGAATAGTGCTTGCAGTGCTAAGGATGCTCGGAGCGCCTTGGATGAAGAGGACAGAGGAAATACAACTCAGCAGAAAACTCAGGAAGAAATCCTCTTTCACGAGGAAACCATTGATCTTGGTGGTGATGAGTCTGAAGGGAATGAAACGGTATCAGAAGATTCAAATAACTTTATAGATAAGCTTAATGAACAAATGATGGAGAGTGTCATTATTTCAGACTCTCCAAATAACAGTGAAGATGACACAGGTGAACTTGGTTGTCTGCAGGAGATTGTAGAGCAAATGGAAGCGAAGGATAACCAAAATACTCAAGCAGAAGTGGGTAAAGAAGAGCTTTTAAGTAATGAGAGTGAAACTGAACATGAAGAGACGCCCAAAGATATCTCTGAGATTGGAACTGACGATCAGGCATCTTTAAAGGAAGAGTCAATTCAGGAAACAGAGAAGGATGAACCAAAGTTGGGAAACAGCATTCCCGTTGAAGCAAAGCCAAATGGTATTGATGAAAGCAAACCAGATGACCAGATATCATCACCCAGTACTAGCAGCAGACCATCTGCTGAGGCTGAGCCTATCCCTGTGTGTACTATTTTCAGCCAAGCAAACAATGCTAATGCTCAACCACAGTTGTTTCTGCCTGATGGCTTCGAGCCTCAGATGGTGAAATCTCCTAGTTTCAGTAGTATCATTGAGACTCCAGTGAAGTCTAATCCACAGGTGGTTCAGCCCAGTCCTAGTCTAAGCAAGTTCTTTGGTGATACTGTTAACACTAATACTTTAGCTTCAGATTTTTTTGACTCGTTTACTACATCCAATTTTATTTCTGTCAGTAATCCCAACGCGAGCTCTTCAGTTCCAGAACAGGTGTCCTCTCTGTCAAATGGTGGAGAAAGTTCCTGTGCTCAGACCAACCCTACTTTCTCTGTAGGAAATGGGAGACCTGAAGGAAGTGGTCCTCAAGCATCCCTAGAAACAACGCAGTCCCCTAAACCATTCTCACAAATCCAGGCTGTATTTTCTGGGAGTGATGACCCATTTGCCACAGCCTTAAATATGAGTGAACTAGACAGAAGAAATGATGCATGGCTTCCCAGTGAGGAAACCAGAAATGTTCTCATCTCAGTTGCCACACAACAATACAGTACTGTATTCATAGACAAAGAGAATCTCACCATGCCTGGATTAAAATTTGATAATATCCAGGTAAGAGTCTGTGGTTGTACGTTGGTTGTTCATTGTATTTTAGAAATACTGAATAAGAGCTCTCCAAGAATGTGTTCAGTGCAGTGCTTTGTTGCCAGCTGCCCTCTTGTTCTACTCCCATCCTCACTAGAAAATTTAATTTATTGCCTACTAGTGCCTGTAAGGGCTAAAACGTAAGCTGAGTTTTTGTTTGAGATATTGGATACCAGTATTGACAGCATACATAAAATCCAAAGCTGGATGCAGGTATAAATCTACGTGTACAAAAGCACCTAAGTGGAAAGAAGGCATTACAGTATGTCAGTGTAGCATATTTCTGTGATAAGACCTGATGCAAAATCAGCAAGGGGATCAAAGGGGCTCCCTCCTGCTTTCTTTGTTATTATTTATAAGCAAACATGTCAGCGTAGTCCAGCTTTGAGGTTCTCTATGACTACATGAATTGCATCACATCCAGTTACTGGTTTTCAGTGGCCTAACTGTTCTCTTTCACAGGCCAGACATCCCTTGGTTTGCTGTCATTGTTCTGTATTATTGTCAGGCTTTGAATTAATTGCATATTTAATTGAAACTATAATTATGAAGTACTCAAGATGCCAGCTAAAGCATTTTGGAGGCATGTTTTTAATGTTAAATCAGTTTCCAACAACATGCGTTAAAGTCTTGGTATGAGTATGCATTTGTAAACAGGAGGGATTCCAACTTTTAAAAGGGGCAGAAAGAGACAGGACAAAGAGGAATGGTTTTAAACTAATAGACAGATTTATATTAGATGTTAGGAGGAAAGGTTTCATTCCATGGGTGGTCAGGCACTGGTACAGCTGCCTAGAAAGGCTGTGGGTGCCCCAACCCTGGAGGCCTTCAAGGACAGGTTGGATGGGGCCCTGGGCATCCTGAGTTGGTGGGTGGCAACCCTGCCCATGGCAGGGGGTTTTTAACTGGGTGGTCTTTAAGTTCCCTTCTAACCCAAGCCATTCTATGAATTAAATGTATTTGAGTTTCATGATTAGCTTCTGAAATCTCCAAAAGTAGTACACAGAACTGCAGTGGTCTTGGGCTGCAGTTAGGGAGATGCTGAGAAATAGATAGCTGAGCAGAACTAGAATGTGAAATTGAGACACAAGAGTACCACATACAGAATTACTCAGTTTATTGCTAGCAAAGCTGGAAGTAGACCCTGTATTTGGACTTGTCTTCCTCCTAGCTGCTCCATTGTGCAAAATGTAGAATTAATGTTTCTGACTTCGGAAGTCTGTATGTTAAATGTCTGTCTCAGCTAGTCTCATTTCTTCAAATTACTGATCTGCTTCAATAGCCTAATTTCTCTAATTCCAACAGTTATATATTGTTATTGTCTGGTTCTTTTGGAATTAAAAATACTTGTTTAATTGGTTCTGTGATTATTTTTTTTTTTCTTCTACTTTTTTTTTTTTTTTTTCCTGGTGGATATTTAAAGTCAGTTGTTTGTGTGCCACTTTATCTGTTATAAATATCAGGTAAAACTTTGCTTTGTAATATTTCTGAAAGGCATTTTGTAAGTTATGTGAAAGGTATACTGTGCATGTGTATATATAGAGAGAGTTATGCACCAACCCTTTGTTGCCAGCACTGAAGGGCATGTGTATGATAGTTAATATAGTGATTTGAAGGATCTGAAGGAAACGAATAAGCTTGGGTATTTTCGTGCTAATTGGAACCTAAACATTAGAAGAAAGAATCTAACCAAGAACGCATAGTAAATCTAGGAATTTTCATTCAAGTACTGCAAATATCTATACATTTATGTTCATTTCACGCAGAAAGTACTGGAAGGTGAGTGTTTCTCAAGTGACAAAGATATGTTGCTTGCCTTCATTTCGATATATTGTTTTACCAAAATAATGTTGAAAAGCATCTCATTGTGTTTCTTCTTTTTTTCTGCCATGAACACAAAGGGAGATGCAGTAAAAGACTTAATGCTCCGCTTCCTAGGGGAGCAAGCTGCAGTGAAGAGACAAGTTCTAAATGCCAACTCTGTTGAACAGTCATTTGTAGGCTTGAAACAGCTAATTGTAAGTACAAATGTTCATAATTTAATATATATTAAATGTCATGCTTCCCTCAACATTACTGATAGCTAATGAGTGTGAGAAGGAAATTAAAAAGTGTATATTAATCTGTTTGTGGTCCTGCAGAAGTACTAACCAAAGTACAGTAATCTTTTTAATGGGAATGAAACTGGTATTTAAATACTGGTATTAATGGATGTAGTAATTTTTTTTTTTTGTATGCGAAAGTTAGAAACAAGGCAATTTTAAGATACTGTGAATTTTGTCAGCTGTTAATGTTTACAAAGTGTTTCAAACGGTTTCAAAATAGATTTTAATAGCTTTTTTGTTCATTTCCATGTGCATTCTTGATGTTTTCACAGTAGTGTTTTGCAGAAGGTTAAGATGTACCATTAGCATGGTAAGCAAAGCTGAAGTGGTAGTTTCAACTGCTTTTATTTTTTATTTTAAAGCAGGAAAACTACACTAAAATGCTTCCAAATGAAGGTTTATTTTTCTGTAGAGAAAGCTTCTTTCAGACCTTTAAGTAGCTGCATCCAGCAGCCTCGTGAGCTTTGCCTTGTTCTTTCAACTACTGGGTTCCATGTGAAACTCATCACTATTAAATGGCTGAGCTGAACTTAATCTCTTGAGATGTCAAAATGTTTCAGGCTTATTTTATTTCTGAAAAAAATGAATGAAAAATTACTGAGGAAAAGCACTTAAGAATCGTGTTATAACAATTTGTATTTAGCATTTAACATTTCGTGGTTTAGTTGCATTACATTACATGTAAAAGCTTTAAAGGAGACTTTTTGTCACGTTTAGAAGATTCTAGGTAGTCTCTTCAAATGAATTCAGAGTTAATTCTTGAAACTAAACCTGGAAAAACATACTGTGGTCTCCATCATAGAGATGATTTTTCTGTCTCTCTCCATGTTCTGCTTAACTGGAGAGTTTAGAGAAAAAAAAAATGTCATTAAGAAATCTTGTCTCCATCTGTGCCAGAGAAGGAAAGGGCTTTTTTCCCCACATTTGCTCTTTTGTTAGAGTCAGTTTGCTATACAGGGAGAAACAAATCTTTCTCTATTTGGCCCAGTAGCTTTGTCCACGCAAATTGTTTTGTGCTGCAAACTATCTTATACCTTAAGTACAGTGCTGCCGTGGCTATCATTTTAGCTTTGAGTGTGCACTTAAGCTTCATAACA